TCCATCTCCATCTCCATCTCCATCTCCATCTCTATCTGTGTGTGATGGGAAAAAAAAAGATTGAACTAATGCATAAGATCTGTTTGTTATTGAGAATTTCTATTATATATGAAATATAATAGATTTTATTCTTAATTACACTCTCATTTCTAAAATTTTTTAAGGGTTTATTTGAGCCGATTATCGTTGTCTAAAACATGTTGTACAACATTTGCAAATCATACAAAATTTTATACTTCTTGTAAATAATATTGGCATTCACTCCAACAATAAAAACTTATTACACTTGTTATACTCTAAACAACACGTGTTGTAGCTGATTTTAAGGGGGCTTGTTAGCTTTCTCAAGTTTTGAAAGATTTCATGCTCGAAACTCACCAACCCAAAGAAATATATATATATATATATTGTAAAACATACTCTCTGCTAAAAATTCTTAAAAGTAACGAATATAGCTAAATAAAAAATAGCAATTACCTGAAAAAGCAAAATAACCTCTAAAATGGTAGAAATTACATAAAATCTATGATAAATTTCTAAGTTAATATAAATTACGCATGCATTATAAAATTTTTTATCAAATAAATGTGATGAAACTCTTGGAGACATAAACAACTTTATAATATTAATTTCAAGAAAATAAGAGTAAAATAATAATAAAAAAAAATTCAACCAAGTAGCCACCCATACCTTCGGTCCATGAAAGAACTAATTTCTTATCCTCTACCATCCAGGGCAGCAAAATACGGTTGTAGGCTCACGGATACCGTATAGGGTTTGCGTATATTTTTCTGAAAGAGTAAGCAAGCACGTTAGCCTGAGGTGGCAGCGTCAGCCACGAGCCGTAGCGGATTATAAGCCGCAACGCCTCCGGTTTTTCAGCGTTTCGCTTCGGTCGACACGTTTCAAATGGTCCTTCTAGTGGGCCCCACCCCTCCCTCCCCTCCCATTGTGAATGCCTCCCAGGGGGTAAAATGTAAACATGCCACAAACAAAATACAATTTACATTTGGCAATTAAAACGTTGACAATGTTTCTATTTATTTTTTTTCTAACCAAACAAACCGAACCGGGCCTAACAACAGCCGCATTCAGCGAGTTTTGGTCATAGTTCCGCATTTTGAACATGGACCGTACATGTGAGGAGCCTCTTCTTCTTTAATGGATTAGGTTCAAGCCTTTTTTTTTTTGTTTAAAATTTAAATAAAATTAAATTTCATTTGATATAAGAAACCCTCCCACAGCAAATGAAACAATGGCTCGTGCGGTGGAATGTTGCATTTGGAGGACTGTCCCTTACTTTAGAAGACTGAAAGAGAAGTAGTTCCGGTCTATTTGGTACGCTGCGCTAAGCTGTTGAAAAATAATCTGTTATTTAAATTCTTACAATGTCTATTCTTCTTTAATGGATTAGGTTCAAGCCTTTTTTTTTTTGTTTAAAATTTAAATAAAATTAAATTTCATTTGATATAAGAAACCCTCCCACAGCAAATGAAACAATGGCTCGTGCGGTGGAATGTTGCATTTGGAGGACTGTCCCTTACTTTAGAAGACTGAAAGAGAAGTAGTTCCGGTCTATTTGGTACGCTGCGCTAAGCTGTTGAAAAATAATCTGTTATTTAAATTCTTACAATGTCTATTATATATATATATATATATATATTTTTTTTTGAAAAAATCAGACCTCAATTATAAAACCGTCACCGCATCTTGTCAGGAACGGCGTGGAAGCGCTCATTTCACCTGTTTGAAAACACAGCGTTTTGAACAAGCCTGAATAAATAAACTATTATTGATGAAATATAAATTAAAAAAAATATGATTCGAACATCATGAAAACAGACATAATTTCAAGTGGAAAAACACCTTTTCGCACATGCAAATTGAACATATTTAATATTTTTCAATACAATTCAAGCTGAATGCAAGGAAAATGAGCTGTATAAAAAAATAATGGCAGTATATTTTTCTGTTATATAATAAATAATATAAAATATAAATTCTCTTGAGCAGGCGCGAAAAACGTTCTTTATTAACGCAGCTCTTGTTGAAATGTCATTAAGAGGAATTGTTAATAAGAGAAAAAATCTATATACAATACATTTTTATGAAATACAATATGAAAAGCTGAGTTCTATTTCTCACATCTTCAAAATTAATATATTTTTCACCATATTATATTTTAGATGTATAGGTGAGGAAATATAATGATTATATTTTAGATGTATAGGTGAGGAAATATAATGAGCCAGACCAATTGTTTTCCTTACTTGCATAAATATGGACTTGAAATCTTTAAAATTAAAAAATGTACTGAATATTCAACTTAAAGGAAATGGAGAGCAGCCCTTATCGCTTTTCAAACTCAAGTCAATCATAAATTTTCATTAAGTATTTAAAAAATATCACATTTTATTAATTTTTAAGTAATTTTAGCTTGGACTACAAATAAAAAATAAAATTTTTGTGTTGGACATATAAATACATAAGAATTGAGAAGTATGTATGTAAATATCCCTAAGAAGTTAACTTGTTTACTCTCGTGACATTGTTTTTTCTCGTTCCCCCATCAATAGGCCCGAATTTAAATTAAGGATGTTGGATATGTTATTACATAGGAATTGTATGGCATGTAGGTAAATGCTTAAAACTTGCCAAATCGATTCAAATACTTCAGTCATCTTCCTTAAAAAGTAAAATTGAAGCTTCCTTTTATTTCATAACCACTATCACATGTGGTTTGAGCAATGCGAGATGTGGCTTTATAAATTAAATTTTGGTTTTATTTCTTATTAAAATAATTTTAAAATAAAAAGATAATATCTGTTACTCAATTATATTCTTTTGTTGAATAAATTTTGATAAATTATTATTTCAAGTTGAACACGAGCTTAATTAGAATTAATTCAAACAAATGTATTTGAATCGATTCGGTCATTAACAGATTATTTTTGAACCATTTTAGATATGAGCCGAGCACAAACAAAATGAAAATTTGGTTCTTTAGAAGCTGGACTGATTAATCGGTTTAACCCCAATTATAACCGATTAAATCCAAATTCTAATTAGTTTAATACCAATTCTATACAGAAATGTTTCTAAATTTGAACCGAATCAGCTGAATTATCGAATTGAATCGGCCAATCTGACCTGAATTTTAAAATCATGAAAAAACAGTCAAGTATTCCTGAGTCAAGTATTCCTGAAACTACAATACATGTAATTGTCCCTTAAAAGAATTAGAAGCTGTAGGCCGAAAACCTGGCCAGGCTTCTCCGAGAAGTGCCGTTGATCACACGGATCTCTGGCCCAACCAAGAGGAGAATATCCTCCTTCCCCTATTTAAGTGCCTTATGTCTCTCCCTTTTCTTCTTTCTTAAATCCCGCCTCGATATCACAGCCCACCTCCCCTTCTCTTCAGATCCTCTTCGGGTCTCCAACTCTTCTCTCTAAATTTCTGCTCTCGTGTAGCCGCAGATCGAGCCGCCATCTCCATGGACGAAAGCTTAGATTTGCCCCCTGGATTCAGGTTCCACCCCACCGACGAAGAGATTATCACGCACTACCTCTCACCTAAAGTCGCAAACCATGGCGCCTTCACTGCAATAGCTATCGGCGAGGTGGATCTGAACAAGTGCGAGCCTTGGGATCTTCCAAGTAAGGAAAAAAATAGCCAATCTTTTTTCTTTACAAAGTATATACTTCATACATATAGGTTCTAAAAGATGGATTTTTTTGGCAGGCAAAGCGAAGCTGGGTGAGAAAGAATGGTACTTTTTCTGTCAAAGAGATAGAAAATATCCGACGGGGATGAGGACTAACAGGGCGACGGATTCCGGTTACTGGAAGGCAACTGGTAAGGATAAGGAAATTTATAGGGGGCGAGGAGTTCTAATTGGAATGAAGAAGACTCTGGTTTTTTACAGAGGAAGAGCTCCTAAAGGGGTTAAGACCAACTGGGTCATGCATGAGTTCAGGCTTGAAGGAAAATCATACTTCTCTAATCTTCCCAAGTCTGCAAAGGTGCGTAATTGCTCCTTGATTTTTCTACAGTGATTTCTGTTCTCTTTGTCTTAGATATTTACAGTTCCAGGAAAGCTTTTTTAGAGCTTGCTGTAAACTGTATCTAAAAAATGATTATTGAGAAAAAAATCGCAGAGGTATCCTAGGAAGCCCTGGGGGCTTATTTTGTATCTTTCTTTCTTTCTTTCTTTCTTTCTTTTAATATCTGGGGGCTTATTTTGTATCTTTCTTTCTTTCTTTCTTTTTTTTAATATCCCGAGTGTTTTAATCTTGTGGCCCGCTTGCAGTTGCTGATTAGAGCTCCGCAGGTCTACTCTCTTTTTTTTTTGGTGTTAGCATGTTTGTGTCAAATCACTGACATTTTTTTAAATGTTTCAATTATTTCTGAAAATATTCTTTTTGTATAAAACATATTCTGAGCAAATTCTCTCAGATGCTACTCATTTACAACAGAATCCATGAATTTAAATTCGGCTTAGCTAAATTTTGATGCAAAAGTAATTTTTATTTTCCTGAACTGCCCTGTAAAAAATTAAACTTTACAGAATGCACCAAATTAACCAATTTTTATCTAAAATATTTTCCCACTTTCATCTTCAATAGTATTCTAAATCAGAACGAAATTCTACTTTTACAGGATGAATGGGTTGTGTCCAGAGTGTTTCACAAGAACAATCCAGCTCAAAAGAAGACTCCAATGTTCGGTGGCGTCGTCTCCAACCTGGCTAGAATGAACTCCTTCACCGACGAACTAACAGACTCCCCTAACCTCCCTCCATTAACGGACACACCCTACTTCAACTCTGACATGGTAGACGTGGACAGCTTCGACGTCAAGGCAATCATGGCGAGCTCAGCTCCACTGAATAACTACTACTCCATGAACAACTTTCCATACTCCTCCAACTCTCTTCCAAGCTCCAGCTACCAGCAACAACCAATCCCTTACTTTTCAGAAGCGAAGGGACAGCAGTACTGCAAAGCCGAGCAGTTCTCGAACCAGTCGATGGTTAGTCAGGATACAGGCGACCGCAACACGGAGATCTCATCGGTGATCTCCAAAATTGATATGGCGAGTTGCGCTTCCTATGGCGGCGGTGCGGTGATGGACCTAGCCAGTATGTGGGGGTGCTAATTAAGGATAGGGTGGTTGGTTTAAAAGTGTGTGTGCGCTTAATTAATGATATTAATTAGTTTCATTTGTTTGGATTAGTAACTTTGTTAATTAAGTTTGTTCTTAAGAGGGATGGGCGGCTTAATTATTCAAGAAATATACTGTATATATAAAGATAGAAGAATTTCGATTTTTCTAATTAATTATTGTTGAATGATTGTCCGCACTCCTTGTTGGGGTTGAGAAGAGTTTTAATCTGCGTGGATTTATGTAATGGATTCTTGTCTTTTAAGTTTTTACATTAATAAATCAATTGTTTCCCTCATTCATGTGTTATATATATATAAAAAATAAAGATAATAATTTTGTTTAATCTATTTTGGCATTTTTTATTGTATTCTTGTTTACATATTAGATCTATATGTATCGATTTATAGCTCTAAGGACACAATATGCCTACTTATTTACATGTCTAATACAAATATTTTAATATTTATATACAAATATTCAAAATTTTAATATGTAAATATTAAATTTTAAATGTTAGACATATAAATGCATAAAAATTATGTGATATGTATGTAAATTTTTCTTAATTATATCCGTCTTAGAAACATTTATTATGGAATTATTAAATAAACACTATCCTTCTTATTTGTTCTGTTAGTATGGTGACTGTGATTTCTAATTAACTACTATCTTTCAGCGGTCACCAATTCTTTGTGATTAATTAGAACTGTAAAATAGTGCTTTGTTTAACCTAATACGAGCTTAAATCAGTACTCTAACTTAATTTTTGTTCTCGAAAACGACAAGATTTCTATTGCAAATACCAGCTAGCTGATTGAATTTCTTGGTATAATGATAGTTTTTTAAAATAGAATGGCTGAATATTAATTACTAGTCATAATTTTTAAAAATAAATTAAATATATGATTAAAATTCTAAATTGAAAAAAACTATAATTGGGCTGTGCCTACTTGTTATATTTAATACTATAAAGCAATTACAGTCGCTAAATCCCAATTATTTATCTTAATACAACATTATTCAAAGAGCGTATCGAAATTTTTTAATTCGAAGCGCAACGAATTTAATAGAAATTACAATTATAATTATATTTATCAAAAGTTAATAGTATATAGTTATAATGAAAGCTTCTGCGGTCATTTCAAACATAATTCAAGTACATGGAAGGAAACCCACATGACAAGTCCCTTTCATATCTAATATATATTTTTTGAGACTTTGATTCATATGGGCATATAAAAACGGATCTAATTACATATATCTCCGGTGACCCACACGGCCAACCATATCTCTAAAAAGCTGAACTGACAATTCCTCACCCCTAATTTGTGCTAGATTTGCGAGCGTACAGACACATAGTATTATCGTCTTTTGTGGCGGGTGGATAGATGGAATTAGGAGGAAGGAGGGGCCGGGGGAAGTCAGTTGAAAGAGCATGTGGACAAATCGACCAGTTACTGGAAGTAAGAAATTGGGGGGAGCTGTTCACGTGGGTTGCTTTGGTTCGCTTTCAGTTTTTTGCAGTAGAGAGGAATTGTTTTTGATCTTTATAAGTGAGAATTTTTTTATTATTACGATTGAAAACACGTTCTGCCCTTTTCATGGTTCAATTTTGCTCAGGATCATCGTCTGGACGTGCGACCATTTTAAGTAATATTTGCTCCAAAAATTGACCCAACATGTCAATTCGATCCAAACTCAACTAAAAACTTGTATTTTGGGTTGGCCTGGATAATCTTGAGGTTTGGGGTTAGGTTTGGAATTCTAACTCATTCAAGTTTTGGGGTAAAGTAAGGTTGACCTAACAACTTAAAATTGACCCTAAATTAGTCTTTTAGTCTGAAATAGATTGATCCACCATTTTGAATTCGGCCCTAATAGCTATTATGCTTTTACATATTAAACAAGCTATACATGTAATTTTGGGTTGGACTTTCTGACCCATTCGTTTAATATTCGGTTTGGATTCATATCAACCTGTTTTATTTGGGTTAATTTTAGGTTAGTCATAAAATATCTCATTTCCTTTTCGTGCCCACACCATTGTTCTAAACCCGACCAAATACTCTCGAATTCAATTTTCATCAGAGTTTACAGTCTCTTAAGGTCTTGCACTCAAATCATAAGTTACATCGATTTCGTGTATTCCTTAAATTTTTTATATAATTTAAATCGTTAGATTTTTTGTATTTTGAGATTATGTGTTTGGAGGAATTTGAAATTTTGAATCGGTTTTTTATAATTTTGATGATGTATGTCATTCTTAGATGCTTATGACTCATCCATTAGGTATTTTTATATCTAGAACCTATGTTTTATATATCTCACATCTAATCTTTCAGTTTTACATACATGACACTTTCATAAGATTGTGTATTTCACTCTTGAAAATTGGCAATGTTGATATCGATGTTTTTGATGTGACATTAAAGTTTTTAGTACTATGTGTGTAAACATGAATGTTTAAGTTTATGATATGTAAATACATAAGACTTGTGTGCTACACACGTAAATGCCGGTTTTTAAAGGCAAATTGACATACCTAACATACAATTCCTATGCTTTTATGTATCTCACATTTAAATTTTCCTATCTACGTAAACGACACTTTGGTGCTTAAAACCTATGCATGAAAATGTGTAATTTACTTTTTTTTAAGTAGTAATCGTGCTATTTTGATATGGTAATAATGTTGGGAGGGTTATGTGAGAAATTATCCAGAACCTAGAGAAAGAAGGAAAGGACAAGAGCTCTCAGCCAGCGCGCTACCACATACACACACACACACACACACACACATATTAAAAGAATGGGTAAAGGCGTGAGGTCCCCAACCCACCCTATTGGCTCAACCCTCGTCAAGTTCGGGGGGCGACCAATGTGCCTAAATATTCGAGGGACCCCTCTTTAAGTTATCTGTCACCATATTTGGGATTCGAATCCCAGACCAGAATGGACCACCGAAGCAGATGTTCTACCAACTGACCTGGGAATTTGTTGCATATATATATATA